CGGCTTCCACAACCGGACTCTCGCATCCTGCCGTGGCAGTTGGAGTCGAGGAGCTGTGCAGAACGAGCTCTACTTTTTGCTAAGAGTTTTTTCACAAACTATTCAAAACCCCGTTTACAAATTCCATGGTGTCAATTTGCCCCACCGCTGTTAACGTGAATGGCCCTTCTTTGCTTTGTCCTGCGTGTATGTGAGGACATTTAAGAAGGGAATTTAAGATAAATGTTGACTTAGCCTCTTTAATCTTCTGAGGTTCAAATGCAGTGTGATAAAAACATCTTGCACCTCGCTGAGAGCATTTATGCTGTGATTCAGCACACACTGATAACTACATATTCAGTTTGTCACCTCTAACTTCTCCAGGGTACTGCTTTGCAGACAAGCTTCGTGCTTTTCTAAGGCTCTAAAATGAGACTGAAAGCTGATAAAGCTTCAGGAAGAGACACCAAAAAGTAGAGGAGGAGGAGGAAAAGCTCTTGCTTTATGGCAGCACTGCCAAGAAAGAGGAGAAAAATGGTCAGCCCTGTTACTTTGTGCGATGGAACATGACAGTGATGTGACTCAGGAATTAAATTCTTGCACCGAATAGGTTAGGGAGAGGGATGTTGTAATGTTGAGTAAAATTCTAATTGGGAAAAATGCAAGATTTTGTTTATTTCTTAAGTGGAAATTTTTTGAATAAATTAATATAAAGTGCTTTTTACATATGCAATCCATAGTTCTACTTTTTCTACAAAGTTGCTAGCGTGGTAGATAATGAAGCATGTTTACTGATTTCCCCCCTTCCTGCTTTCATCTTTGGGTACCTTTCAATTTTTTTTACTATGTGTCTGCAGAACAGTTCAGGCAGTTAAAATATTTGTTCTCGTAAACATTAAATGAATGGCCTGTAGCTGTAATTTCAGCCTAGTGAAAATAAAAAATTTCCCAATTGTTACTGCAGTTGTTTAGCTCTTTAGATTTTGATGTAATGCAGAACTTCAGATTATGTACATCTCGTCCAGTGCAAACGCTGTTGTGATGATTTGATTTTTTTTTCACCAGTATTTTCTGTATTTTTTTTTTCATTATCATTGCTGTTGTGTGTTGCTAGCTCTGCTGCTTGCCATTGCTATTTGGGTGAACAAATATTTTGCCTCTAGCTCTGGAAGGAAAGGTTGGAGTGCTTGTGCAGGGCTGAGGAAAGCAGGGATCGGTCGCTTGTTGCCTTTGCGCTTGGTGTGGTCTAGTGCCATCGTAGGCCACATTCTGCAGTTTGTTCTGTACTGTGTTCGGTGGTGGGAATCAGTTCGCCCAGATGCCTTGTGGGGCATTGACTGCAGGTTTCCATTTGTAAAGCTGGAGGTGATACTTCAGTGGCTGCGCAGGATTGTAGTATGTGTACTTAGTCATCACACGCTGCGAGATGTTGAAGTATTACTGTGTTGATGGGCAGGTGTGTAAGTACACAGTGTATTTGTGTGCTGTACCGACTAATAAATACACTGCTCTGGGGACAAACGAACCATTATTGCAATGGCTAATTTGCTGTAATTTTTCTGTAAAAGCAGGGATTGCTGTCCTGAAGAGCTGTATCCTTAATTGTTAGCTTCTTGGCTCCACTTTTAGACAAAATCCACAACTCTTCTAATGGCTATGATTAGCTGCTTTGCCTTCAGAGCAATGCTTATACAAATTCCTCTTTATTTTGGAAAGTTGAGTTTTTTGTTATGTGTGGGGTTTTGTATTAATTTTTTTTTAAGTGGCTAGTGCTTAGGCAGACACTTAGTTTTTCAAACTAGGTGAAGCATGTTACATTGCGTTCTTTGGACGGGCTTTCTTATGACACATAATTTTGTTCCTGAAAGGGTGCAGTTCATTTTGCTAGCGTCCCAGATTTGTAATGCTGCAGTTATTTTGCATGTGGTGAAACCTAAAGGTTGCCAGCTCTTTCGCTTCCTCTTCACTTGCACGTTTTAACTCCCACCACTCACTGAGAGAAATGCCCTGCTTGCACAGCTGTCCAGGAGGAAGAGCTGCCCTCACCATATCACAGTGGAGAACAGATGTGTTAATGCAGAATCAAAGCTTAAAATTGCTGGGTTTTTTTGTATATTCATAAACCTTGTAAGCCAGGAAACATTGAAGGGACTGGATTTAGGTTTAGGGGTTTTTGTTGGTTGTTTTTTTTTAAGATGATCATAGTTTCTCTGTAGTGCTGAACCCAACTGATCTAATATTGTGTTGCTTTTTAAGGCCATTCGTGTATGTGAGATTCCCAGTTTAGTCCATAGTGTGGAGATCCGTACCAGCATGCCTACGTCACTTGGGATGGGTGGCTACTGTGAAAAATGAAGCCTGGGTTACGCAGTTTCTCTTAGCTTAAAACCAAGTTTCTTTGCAGTTGTGCAGCCCTGTTCTTGCTTTGAACAAGTATGAGTGAGGGAACTAAAATGGGAAAACTTTAATTTTTTCAAAATGTGAGTTTAACATCATTAATTCAGAATGCATTCCATTTTTGTGTGCGAAGTTCTCTTAAAATTGTGCCTTTGGAATACATTGGCGAGGGGAAAGATTGTGTGTAAGCTGACAAGATCAAATTGCAAAGGCTTCTGTGAAAAACATTACGGATTTGTTTTCTTCCTCAATTAGGATATTGCATATGCTTGTTGCTGAGGGGAATTTTCTTCTTAGTTGCAAATTGCAGCCAGTACATTGGTTTTGTTTATCTGCAAAAAGCAGAGTAGAGAGGGTTTTATTTGGGTTTTTTTTGTCAGTTGCCAGTGTCATCCATATCAGTCAAAAATGTTTCTTTTCATGCTTTCAGCTGATAAGTTGTTGACTACCCTGTTCTTCAGACTGGCATGAGCTTTTTTCCTGTCCTTCCTGTTAGTTTTTATAATTATTCTTCTTACTCCCAAATGACCATAATGCTCCCACAATTATACCTATCCAGTTTGTCCTTACAGTCTTGCAAGGAAGGATCTAAATATGTCCCAATAGCCACAGAATAATTTGGAAATGTGTTTTTTTCATTTGGCTTTTTTGTTTTGCCCCTTTTTCTTTTGCACATGCTCTGCTGTAGGGATTTCTGAGATAGTCTGTCAAAGCAGGAACCCCAGAACATCCCATGCAGCTACAGAGAAGTGAATTATCATTGCATGTCTTGTGCAGCTGAATATTTCCCATAAATGTGGTTTAAGCCCCTGGTTTGTATTTTTAGCCTATTCAGGTCCTTTGGAAATTGAGATCTAATTGGAGCCAAGAACGGGGAGTAATTTGTGGCTGCTGGGCCTGTTTTCCCCCATCTTTCCTTCCCGTTGAAAGCCTTGCACAACAAAAGTTAGCTTGTTGATCCAAGTCTTGTTTTCTAAACAGAAACCTTATGCTTATATTGGCGTATGTCAACAAAAACATGCAACCCACTAAACTGTTTATGGAAGTACTGTTCACTCTTACAAATACAAATTTATAAATGCCTTAAAAAAGCCATTTAGAAGATCTCCGGCACTTGCTGTAGGAAATATGCTTGTCTCAGCAAGTTTGTTTATTTGCCTTTGATACTGCATCTATGCCAGAATAACAGAATGGCATTGGGAATGGCTGCTAGCCATTTGCTGTAGTCTCTTCTCATCTGGCAGCTGGGAGATGGCTACGTTTTCTCTGATAAATACACTTGTAGGGAGAGATGTGATATATAGCACAGACATTCATCATCCTTTGTACTTCTACACATACTCTCATATACCGCTCTTCTGCGTCTTCTCTCTCAGGTACAGATGCTGTAGTAACTCAGCGGGTTGTGAGATTTTATTGTATGTGCATGTATAATTACCTGCAATACACTTATTTCCTTAGAGGTTTAGGAAATTTCTAATCACCAGCCTCACTCAGTGTTTGAAACTGGCATCAACAGTGTAACTTGCCAAAATTGTCGGTGTTTTTTTCCAACAGGGCAGTTGACAGGAAAGCAGCAAATTGGAATGTGTAGATCAAATCAGCTCTCCTTGCACAGAATATTAGCATGCTTTTTTGCCTACTCTGAGTAAGTGTCAGTAGATGCATGTCTTTGGTGTTGTGTGAATACAGCAATTTCTAAGAAAGGAAATGAAAACTAGCTCCTGCAAGGCTGGAAAAAGAGCGCAGTCGTGCTCTTCAGGATCACAGGCTTCAAGAAGTTGGAGCCTGTGTGCTAAGTAGAGGCTGTGTGGTACTGCAGAAAATGTAAAGAAACCCTAAAACTGAAATGCTGGTCTAACATTACTATCTATGGCAGAATCTCTTTTTAGCAAACTTCCCAAAGAGCTTTCTCGGATGCGATATAGGAGTAATAGGCTCCCAAAGGTTGGGAAGTACATTACTCCAAATATGTGCAACAGGCTTATCATAAAGGCAAATAAAAATTTACATAACTTCCTGTTGATAATCGTAGCAACATTATTTATTTATTTTATATATTTTTTTAATTTAGAATGGGGATAGGAATACCACGAAGTGATACCTGTATTGGGTGCTTCATGGTTAATAAAGCAGACAACAAAAAATGATGCTGTGATTTCATTTGAAGTGGATGCCATGGTCATACAAACAGTGCTGTAAGTGAGAGTCATTTTTTTTGTTGCTCATGAGATGAAGAACATCTAAGTCTGGCACTGTTCCTTTGAGCACTCTGG